GAAAAACTGGGTGTAGCAGCTGGGCTGGGCAACAGCATAGCGAGGAGCTCGTCCGCCCTCATCTTAGGGGCCTGCTCCGTGCGTGGGGTAGCTGTAGCGGCACATTAGCAGTGCATCATCTCTGGTGAAATGATATAGCCACCCATCTCTGTGGATGGCCTCCCGGGTTAGCGTGCCATCCTTCCCTTCTCCATAGCCGGCATTGGGACCTTTATAGCTCAAGAAAGAAGCCCCCTCTAGCGGTTCCGTGATCTCTGTCCGACGCCACAGTAGCCGCCGCGTGTAGCTGGCCTTGGAGGCGGCCACCGTGGCTTCGAACTCTAGTGGCCGCCTCCCGGGCTGCTTCCTTCTTCATTTCCTCTAGCATAGCGGCGGCCACTCGCTGATCGTGGCCGGGCCGCGATCTTGAGCGGCATGGCCTCGGCCTCGGCCCTTGGCTTGCCTTGGCTTTGGCCGCGGCTTAGCGGCTGCGAGCTCATCCAGCTTAGCATTGGCCGCAGCCATCTCCATAGCGGCGCCCTTTCCGTGACCCCGTTGTACCTAGCCTGGCCCGGAGCACGAGAAGAGAGAGAGGAATTTTCGGGTGTCCGGCGGGTTAGCACGCCCCCCTCGGTGCTTACGGCGGGCTGCTAGCTGACCCCGCGGAGGGTTGGCTTTTCGGAGATAGCGCCTTGGTTGGGCCAACATAGCTTACAGACGTGGGTGTATTCATGCAGCTCCGCGGTTGAAGTTAGCATCCCATCCAACATCCTGTAGCTCCTGTCTTGCGCAGGCGGAAAATAGCACCGGCACCTCTACGATAACATCCCTGGCCTGCCTCTTGCGGCCGGCCGTTCCAGATTCCCCGCGCTAGCTTCCCAGCTGTGTTTGCGGGAACCTCTAGCGCGGGTCCTTTGGGGGGGCACTCCTAGCTGACCTGTCATCCAGGTTTTGCGGTGAGCTTCGCCCTCTTTCCGCTAGCCCAGGCACCTCACACTCATCTAGCCTTTCGTAGTGGTCCTCCCCTCTCACCGTTTTAAGGAAAAGGGCTTGGAGTGGGGCACAACCGTTCCCCCCAAAGAACCTAACAAATACGTCGGACCTCTTCGAATTTCCAACGCCGCAGCAGATCCTTGGATTTCCTGTAGCGCCAAACCAATGAATATCACCGAGCATTCGCTGTGCTCCGTCCAGTAGCCCTACCTCAGCCGCGGCATGAGGTAGTCCCGGGCGTAGCTAGCGTGGGCCTTGAGTCGAACCCAGGCGTCGGTCACCAGGAAGGCATGTTCCGAAGCCAACACTGGTAGCTCTTTCGCCCTTTTGGTCTTCCGGAGTATGGTAGCGAGGCGGCCCTCCACCATTGTGAGCTCGGCCGGCAAGATAGCCTGCAGATCCGACCATCTTAGCGAGGCCCAGACCTTGACTAGCTTGGCCCAAGCCCAGACGCGCCACCCCACCGCCATAGCAGTGTTGATCACCAGTAGGCATGTAGACTGGATAGCGCGGGGCCCTCTTGGTGTTAGCGGCCCATACCAGGCGGCCGTGGGTGGCCCAGTCACGATTGTTCTGATAGCCGGTGCTGTTAGACCACTGTCGCGACTCGGAGCTCCACATGGCTACACAGCAAAACTCACGCTGTCTCTTGAGGCTGCACTCGAACCACTCAGACTGCCGCTGTAAGCAATCTTCAACACAAGCCTCAAAACAAACCATGCATCATCCCAGTGCACTCTCGGATGGAGACAGTGAGCGACACGTTTTGATAGTCAGCAGACTGATTCTCTGGCAATTCAGCAGACGGTAGCTTGTCGGCAGGCTTAGGTCGAGGTGTTCCGATCAGGGAATTCAACTTGTCATTGGCACGGCCGTCACACACACACACACACACACACACACCCCTTCCCGGAGGAAGGGGTAGCTTACAGGATACTTGCACGGATGCACCTGCTTTCTGATAATAAGGCAACATTCTCACTAAAAATTGCATTCTCACTTGCAAGCGGAACGGATGACTCTCTGTCTTCTTCGAGGATAACTCACAAGGTGCTTGCACGGAGTCAGGTGCATCGTGGATGAATCGCCAGCTTCGCGGGCGATGCACTTTAGATCAGCACCACCCTCACAGTGCTATGTATGAGCATCTGTGATGCAAGATCCCCAACCCCATAACCTGTATGGCTCATTGGGCGGGATGGGAGGGATTGAAGTTCAGCACATGCCGGTGAAAACTTAGGCGCGTCATGAGGTCAGCAGCAAAAGCTTCACTATAGGCTTGGGCTTGACTGGTGAGGAACTTGCCGAAGGCGATGCCGGTGAGCTGCATGTGTCGTCGATGAGTCCTGACACAGACCCCGGGGCGACACCGCAACATTTGAAAATCGGCAGTGTTCCACACCAATAGACCAGTGGGCTTGCGAAAAGGGTTGTTGTAACGGCACATATCAACAGCCACAAAATGCACACGTGGGTCATTGAGTAATCTCTGCATTGCGGGTACTCGCCAGACTCGGCTATTGAGTGGATTCTCCATGTATCCAGATATACCTTGCCGAAGACACTTGCGAATAAGCTTAACCGCTCCCCACAGCATGATGTTGCCCTTTCGAACTTTTTGTGCATCTGCGTGTGACAAGTTTGGTAGCCCAAAAACGTCGTCAGGATTATCCCCTCGTAGAGCTCTTGGCATGGGGCTTCCTTCTGGGGCCCTGCGGTCAGTGCCGAGCCTTCGGAGTTGCCTCAAATCCCGGAACATTGTGCGGGGTCCTTGTAACGGCCAGTCGGCAAAGTCGACCTCCTCCAGCTCGGGCAAAGCTTCAGTGATAGTTCTCCATCGCTCCTCCGCGATGTCAAACAAGACTGGGAGAGTACGCACATCGTGTTCCCCGGTGCCTCCCGAGGTCACACCCTGCTTCGCCATGTCTCCCAGCGCTGCGAGCCGGTCTTTCCGAACAGCTTTTGCAAGGAAGACCCGACCATCCTCATGCCAGATGAAGTACCTATCTCCCTTCAAGATCACCTCGCTTCCATTGTCGATTGCAGGCTCTCTCTCTTCTCCCACATCCGACCCTCGACTGTCATAGATGATCATCCAGGTACGCTCTGCATCAGGTGGATTTGGCCTCGGGGCCTCCCCTAAGCCAGCAGCGGAACCAGTCGTATGAATCCGCCCGTCTTGCCCCAACTTACCGGTCACTCTGCGTCGAGCTCCAGCCTGGTGGATTCGTCCTGCCATGATCTCCGCCTGGGACATCAAGGAGCGTAGCTCATCCACGGCCAAGTCGCCGCCACCACTGTGGCGAGGCAAGTAGGCCTCTCGCGAATCCTACGGAGCAGCCTTTCAACCTTTCACCATCCATCCGAATGACTTCCGAAAAGATATCCCCCGCCTCCAGGAGAGTGTCATTGATGTCCCGATCGGGGGTCGCAACAAGACACCTATCGCCCTCCAGACACACCAACACCAAGCGCCAGTGCAACAAGGCAGGATCATCCCTGAAGCGCACGAGCGCGCTCTCGCGCGCGAGCCACTTCTTCGGAGCTGCCGTCATCGGACTCTTCGGTCTCAGGGTTGTCGGCAGGCTTGCCGGCTTCCTTCGCCAAAATCAGTGCCTGATCGCAAGCAATCGGCTGCCCCCGAGCCACGACTACGGGACTGCTTCCCAAAGCACGATGCCTTGCAGCCAGTATGGACAGCACTCCGAGTAGGAAGCCCAAAGCCACGGAAAGCAGATGAAGCTCAGATAGACTAGCGTCTTTTTCGCCATGTGCGACTTTCCACTCACAAACAGCCAGCGACTGGTTAAGATGCGCTATAAGCTCCAGCTGATCGAACAACCGTGCCCTAGTTGCCTCGCACCTCTCTCACAGTATACTCCGGCTGCTCCTCTCAGGATACTCACACCCAGTGCGTGCGCTCTTGCCCCAGCTGTCCCCAAGGATAAGCACAGCGAAGCGCCCGGCGTCTATGGCTAAACCCCTCAAGAGCGCACGCCAGTCTACCATCGAGCTGATGAGACTTGAAATTTTGCAGCGGAATTCGCGATGCTTCAGCAATCCTGCATCAATGCTATCAGGCAGGAAGGCAGGCAGGCACGCAGAGAGACAGAGACAGACAGAGAGACCATCGACAAAGACAAAGTCATAGAGACACATACTTCGACACTCACACGGTTGACAGCAATGTGTTGAATTGTCTTCATAAGGTTTGCGCCTAGCGCTGTGTATTCACTAGACAAAGAGACATCATGTTGGCCAGATGAGACAGTAACGACTAGGGGTACTTTCAACAGCTTCACAGGCAAACTTGCGATCCAGCTTGTATCGGCACATCTTGAAGTCGTTAAAACGAACGCTTCAGATGTGGGACACCCCCCTGCTTGGCACGCCAGTTCGTGTCAGGGCTAGGAAGCAAGGAAGACTGTGTTGATTTGCTGAACGGCACATGGTGGCATGTGTCTGACTAATCTGCAAACGTGGCTCTACAGGTCATCAAACGAGATTGTTGCAACCGTCCATGTAGTATTGAGCACAGTGGAAACTGCTTTGTTGAAAGGACAAGGCTCTTACTTGCTTGCTGGATTGGGTGCTGTCCACCATTTTCTGCAGGTATAGAAACTGCGTCTAGCATCTTCTTTAGTCAATTCCCATAGCTTCGACCGCCATGCCCCCTGCAAAAGCCGTGTAGCTTGACATATAGGGGCTTTGCAAAAACAGATGCCAAGGTGGGACCTGCCTATCTGCGTTCTGCGCGCGAGAGCAGTACACACGCACACATCGAACCCGATGCGCTAGATGCCGTGGCTGCTGCTCCGATATCGGCCATGGCCAGCTGATGGAAGGATGCTCTTTTGACGCCCTGAAAAGGTGGTTTCGCCCAGCATAAGCACAGAAAGGCTTGCTCACAATATCGGATCTGGGAACGTCCAGCTAGGAGCTCAAAGCTTAAGAATAACAACCTGTTGAAGAAAGAGAATCTCTTGACACGCAGTTGTTGTCCAAGGTCTCTGAAAGGATTAAAAGTCCTGGCGAAGCACTTGGAAGCTCGAGGCGGTGGCCAGCACGAAGCTCTGCGGGCTCTGCGCTGCGGCCCACTGGAAGGAACAGTCCCCGGCCACGGCGGCCAGGGAGCATGCGGAGCTCAGCGACAGCGCCCATGCAAAAGAGGGCTTTGGCATCACGGCACCCGCCGAGCCGCTTCTGCTCAAGTCTTGTGAAGGTCTGCTGCGGTTTTTCCTAGCCTTCGCGGTCTTAGCGCTGAAACTCCGATTCGTACAAACTGGCGCTTGTCGCTTGTCTTAAGTTGTGTCTCTCGAGGCTCTTAAACGTCTTAAGCGGCACCAAAGAGCAAGGAAGGAACTGATCTGCAGCAGCTCTGCGGCTGCCTGACTGTGCGGCTCTGTGGCTGCCTGTGCGGCTTTTCCTCGAAAGCCACGGGGCCACGGGGCGCCGCACGCCTCCCTTTGGGAGCGTCGGACCCAGACCGTCCCACCTCCCGCCGCCATCCCGACCACTGCGTCCCGCTCTCAGCAGAGGAAGGCATGGCGCAGCACCTGAAGCTTCGCGGAGGCGCTTCCGCGGCAGTTCCGCTTCCGCGTGAGGTGCCTGTTGTGCAGAGAGGCGCTCCGACGCCGGCGTGATCATCTGCTGGATCAGATCCATGCCCTGGACGAAAAGAGAAGACTCCAAGAGTGAGCCTTGCGCAGGCCGCCAAGCCGAAGGCTGACAGGCGCCTCTTTCGGGGCACCCTCCCAGGCGCTTGCCGGCTCGAAGTTCCAGGCCCCCTTCTTCACCTCGGCCCCCCCCGCCATTTCCCGCCCAAAGCCCTGAGGTCGTCTCTGTCACGGCCGAACCCCGCCGCCCCGCCTGTTTCAAAACGTCAAAGTCCGTGTCCCCGCTGAAGGGTGGATGCCCAGAGAAGAGGATGTAGAAGACCACGCCAAGCGACCAAACATCGACCTCTCGCACGCCGCACTGCACTGCTCTCGTACATTCACGTGCGGTGAAAACACACGCAACGGGTTTTCGGGGCCCGGGCCTTCTCGGTGTAGGGCTCCATCTTTCGGGTCAAGATCTCCTTCGCCACGTAGGTCGGTGTGCAGATCTTGGTGACCAGTGCCTTTCCGAACGGCAAACAGAACGCCAGGAGCTTTGCGGTGGCAGTGCCACAGAGCGCCACAGTGCCTGACCGGCAGAGAAGTCCTTGCAGGCAGAGCCGGCAGAACATGGCAGAACGCATGCGAGCTGCGAGCCCCAAAGCATGGGCCGGGCCCCGCCGCCGGCCGCCGCACCTTGGAGGTCGTGAAGTCGATGAGCCGGATGGTGGCCTAAGAGGCGGAGCCGCCCGGGCCCCGCCGTGTTCCGCCCATGCCCCCTTGCTTGTGCCTCTTCCAAGGGAGCCTCTAACTCCACGAGGAGGAAGTTCTCCAGCTGAATGTCCTGGCGAAACAGCCGCACTGGCATCAGAAACTCCGCACTGCGCGGCTGTTGAGACGCTCTGCAAGCTCCCGGTGGCTGATCTTGTGTGCGTGGAGGCAAGCCACCTGCAGGACTGCGGGGGCGGCTTAGGAAATCCGCGTTGGAGATCCGCAGCTGCCCGAAAGGTCCTGGCCGCGTCAGCGAGCTGCTTCAGCACCCGCTTGGCCCTCGAGAGCCGAGAGGACTTAGAGTCTTACAAGAGCCAGTGTTCCAGCTTCAGCGAAATGACTGAGTTGTGACTGCTTTTCGGCTCCCAGCAAAATCAAACTGCGGAGGCTCGCCGAAAGCAGGCATGCTCATAGCTTGTTGCGGTGTGCACATCGCACCAGACAACACTATTCGGGTGTAGATCAAACGACAGGTTATATTCGTGTCAATGAAACCCCCGCGGGAGCCCGCCGGCCGAGCTGTCACTAACTTCTATATATACATAAGCTTCCAGCAAAAGCTTTGCTGGCCATTCCATTCGCTCCTTAGGGCTCCCCGCTCCCCAGCCGATCGCGACTTCTTGGGGCCCGGATCCGTTTCCGTTAATTGTGTGGGGGTTCTGTCGCGGTTCAACTGCTCAACGGCCTGCGCGCCTGCGTTGTCAAAAGGCTTCTGCGAGATTCGCGCGCGCACTCCTTCAAGGGTCTTCGTCCGCCGGTGGCTACGGGCGGGGGGCAGCGGTGCGGGGCAGCGGTGCGGTATGCAGTGGCGGTATGCAGGTGTCGGGTAGGAAGATCACTTGAGTCTACTTGGGAAAAGCTTTGCAAAGAGAAGACGAAGACTTCTATAGAAGTTTCAACTTCGGCTCAGCTGCTAGGACGCTACTCCAAGTGACGAGAAAGAAGAGATTTGAAAAAAAGCGGAGAAGCTGCGGCCGGGCCGTGGGCCGTGGGCCGTGGGCCGCTGGGCTGTGGCTGGGCTGCTGGGCCCGTGGCCGGCACGTCTGTCCACCATCCTGGGGAGCGCAGCGGCGCGGCGCATTGCGTAGCGGCGCGCAGCAGCTCCGCAGCAGCTCTCTCTGCTCTGCTGCTCTGCTCTGTGGGATCCCGGCGATGGCGAGGACGTCGTAGAGGCGGCCCCCTGCAGCGCAGCTCCCCTCCCTCTCTCGGCCGGAGCGCAGCTCTCTCTCCTCCCTCTCTGTCCCCTCTGTGGCGCTGGCCGAGGCAGAGGTCCAGGACCATGAAGACCTCTATCACAGCTCCCGCCCAACAGCTCCCCGCGTCCCGGCCCGGCTCCCGGTGCAGCCAACAGCTCTCTGATCTCTCTCTCTCTCTCTCTCTCTTTGGGGATGTGGCCCTACAGATTCCAAAACTCTCCCCCCTGCTTCCCTCATCTCCTCATCCCGCCCCTGATCTTTCAAATGCCCGAAAGCGTGGAAACTCCGGTGCTTGCAATTTGAAGGTATCAGGAGGCTCGAAGACCTTTTAGCATCGCCGCAACGTCGGCCGTCATGACGGGCTCCTAAAGCAGCGCAGAGCGGCCTGAAAGACTACTTCTAAATACATCAAAGCGCCCAAACCCTTGAAGCACATGGGACTCAACAGAAATGAAAAAGGTAGCCCACGACAGGCGGGCCAGAACCCGCAGTAAGGTGGGACGGAGTTCCACTGACTACCACGTTGGTCTCAGGAGCATTGTAAGACCACCCCAACAGTTGGTAGGCGCCAGCAGGCGCCCAACACATCACGGGCTCACCACAACAACCATGTTGACCCTTCTAGCTTCAACGGTGGCTTGTACAGGCTCCGGTGTTGCCTCCTCGTCTGGGCCATTGACACTGACACGAAATCGTGATCGTGAGCCTTTGCCTGCGGTCTGGTCAAGGTGGCCAGTCGGCGTGTTATGCTTGGTTCCCTGTTTCAACAACAAATCGTAAAACCCTGTATAATGTCTGAGTTTTCTTCTTTCAATCTTCCATCCACCGCAAACGAGCTGGGAACGCCGTTCAAATCGACTTGGACACCGTATGTCACAAACGAGATACCGGACTGCATACGAGCGCACTTCGCCGATCTATCACGCAGGTCCGAAACAAGATCTACTGGACCAGAAGTCACAAAAGCAACGCTCATCGCAAGCGTCTACGTGGACTGCGCCTTTCGCTTTAATTATCATCAAGTGCTCCACCTGAGGTTGTGCGAGCAAGCTGACATCAACTTCATCAGCTTTGTACATGGACCCTCCCTGAACTGCTGTCTTTACGAGTTGCCAGAAGGGCAAGTGCCCGCAGGCCTTTGTCGATAACGCACATCGTCCCATGGGATCGTGTGTACTCGCAATCCGCACACACAGATTCTCAAACACGGCTGGTACGAGTTCCCGTTGGCAGCGGAATTAACTTTGGATTATTCTTGACTTCGGACTTCGGTTCTGTGATTTTCTGTGGGCCAGGCGGCCAGGCCAGGTCATGTGCTCATCCCCGAATCAACTATAATGTGTTCGCATTTCACCGCAAAGGGTAGCAGGTAGCGTTGATTAAGTGCTCAGATATCTGAAACGCTCCCTCCTTTGGCGATCCCGACTCAACACATATCTGCACGTGTCTTGTAACTCACCGTCTCATTAGGGGATCCCACCCCTTTTTTCATCGCATGTCTTCGACGGGCAAACCCGCTCGTCTTGCGCTCGTCCCCCGGCCCCCGGCGGCCCCCGGCCCCCTTCATAAGACACGTGTTCAACACGCCCCCGCCGCGCGCGCCCCCTTTGCTTTTGGCGATCGCGATCCCGATTGACCAAATTTTTTGCTTGGACTCGCCTTCTTCGGAGAGTCTCCGAGTCTGGGAGCGGACCGCTGACCGGAGCCACAAGTAACGTTCAACTCAGCGTCACAGCAGAGCGGCCGCCTGACTTTCGCTTTCGAAGGTCTCGAAGAGCCGGCAGACGTTTGGATGCCTCAAAAAAGAAGGCCGCAGCGGCTGCGCAGCGGTGTGCAACGCAGCTATCGCCATAGGCCGCCTGAGCTTCCGCATGATCTCGATCTCCTCCCACATCCCGCCCTGCAGGCACAGTGCGACGGCACAAGTGTGCTATGCGAAGGGCTCCTAGGGGGGGTGGGGCCCGGGGGCACTTGGGGGGCGCTTGGCCTCGTCGGACTTGGCCTCGATCTTGATCGCCACGGAGACGCTGGACCTGGGAGCCGGGAGCCGCCGGTTTGCTGAGCCCTGCTGAGCCCTTCTCTTCTTCTCTTCTTCTTCTTTCCTTCTTGAGATCTGAGCTCCAGGTGCCATCCTCCCCAAACGGTGCTGGTGTCCTCAGCCGTCTCCAAGATGAGCGGGGTTCCCTTAACCACAGCTCCCTTCTCCCTTCCCGCTGCGGAGCTGACCCCATCACCGAGGTGTTCGAGGATCTCGTAAACCTGAGAGTTATAGTTGAAACAGCCATTGAGCTGCTGAGGCCTGAGGGCCCCAGGGCCCCAGGGCTGAGGGAGGAGTTCTGTATTGCGCGTGCGGCCCCGGCTCCGATGGGGTGGCCCTGGGTGTGCCTCCCGAGGAGCTGTCAGCAGAGAGAGATGCAGGAGATGCAGAGAGAGAGAGAGAGAGAGAGAGAGAGAGAGAGAGAGAGAGAGAGAGAGAGAGAGAGAGAGAGAAGAGAGAGAGAGAGAGAAGCGCCACGTCAAAAACGCAACTTCAAACGCTACTTACTACTTCTCGCTACGCTCACCTGCAGAGCTCTCCTGGCTGCCAGGTGCTGCTGATGGCGCCTCGAAAAGTGAGACTCCAACAACCGAGGCTCAAAGCGCACGTCCCACGTCCCGCCGCTCTTTCTTCGCTTACTGGGTGTCTGGCGGAAGGCCGAGCGGCTCTGGCTCGGCGAGGAGAGCTCCTGCGAGGAGCGAGGAGGAGCGGAGCCGCGGAGCCGCGGAGCGGAGCGCCGTTTCGAGCGGCTGCTGAGACGCTCCGCGGAGCTCGGCGCGGAGCTCGGCGGTCGCGAGGCGCCGCGGATACGCTGCTCGCCTCCTCGTCAGCCGGACTCGCTTGGAGCTCGTCCACGGGCGAGGCCGCCGAGGCTTGGAGAGCCGCCTGGAGGAGCTCCTGTCAAGAAGCGAGGACCGGGCGAGCGCCTTAACGGCCAGACGAGAGAGCCGTTACGAGATCGCGCGGCGGTCTCTTTCTCCTCCACCTTCTCCAAGCGCTCGGCGAGCATCGTACCTGAAAGGTTAAACATGTTAAACGCGCGAAGCCGTCTCGACCGGAAGAAGCTGATCGCCGCTGATCGCGACCACACGCTGAGTCTCTGGCCAACAAAGCGGCCCTTGCGGTTGGTGACGGATTGCAGGAGCGAGCAGCCGGGCTTGATCCAGCCCTTGAAATTGCTTTCGCCCTGATACGGAGCGGATGCATCTGCCTTGAACTCCAAGAGCAGTCCTGAAGCAGCGCAGAAGCGCGGCTAGCAGCGATGTGAAAGCTTCAGTCTCTCTCTGCTCGCAGTCTTAGCTCCTACGAGCTCTGGGCTGTTGTCGGCGACGGCGACCACCAAGGCTCTGGGCAGCGGCGTCTTGCCTGCCGCGCCGAGAGCTACAGTGCAGTGAGCCGAGAGAGCCCGCAGCGCCCGCAGCGCAGCCTTGAGGCTCCAAGGGCTCCTGAAAGAAAACGGCAAAAGAAGGAGAAACTGGAGACTGCACTAGGCTGCACTAGGCTGCACTACATCTCCTCCAGCCGGAGGAGATTCTCTTGCTGCGCTCGGGTCCTTAAAGACCACTCCTAGTCTGCCCAGGCAGAATCGAGGGATGCGGAATCGAGGGATCCGGGCAGCACGTCGCGAACTTCTTGTACCTTCACCTACCGGGAGGCACGTATGCGTGCCGTGCTTGCATCCATTGACCGGTGTGGGAGTTCGCGGGAGTTCGCGGTTCGGCCGCCTTGCGCCGGGTGAAAGCCTCGAGGAGAGGATGCGGAGCTCCCGCCGCCGGGCCCGCAGCGGACGCCGCTTCTCGCGGAGCCTCCGCACGTGTTCACAGCCTGTACTTGGAGCTGGACCAAGCATCGAAGCTGAAGCTCTTTCGGCTCCGCCTCTGGCAAGTTCTTGGGCATGTCGAGCCCTGCGATCGTGCAAAGCGGTAGTACACATGCCTTGAAGCCCCCTCGCTCGAGCCGCTCTAGTGCGCAAGAGCCCAACCTTCCACTGCCCGAGATGCATCCTGCAAAGAAAAGCCTGATAATTGCTACCGGTTGCTTTTAAGCGCATTTTCTTCTCCGGGTCCTCATCGGTCTCGTCGAAGGGTTCCTCCTGGCACCGTGACTTGACAGAGCACATGGGGCCTCCAGTCTGGCTATCTCACTATGTCTCACTATCACTTCTGAAGTTCTCTCCTGGGGCATCTGAATGACAAAGGCACTTTGACGTCTGACTCGTGCATCCGTGTTGGAGAACCTGAAGCAGCAAATCATGGCTCACGGCAGCGTGGGAGGGGGCACCGGGGGCACCTTCGAAGTTGTGCCGAGCTCGTAATCTGGTCCGGGCTGAAGTCCTCCTCCAGCTCGCTGCGCTCCAGATCCTGCGGAGCCGAGCGCTCGCTGCGGCGGCTCGGCTCTTGGGCACGGCCCCTCGCGGCCTCGTCGTTCTCGAAGCAGCTCGTGCGGAGGCTCTTCATCCTTCAACGAAGAGCAGCGGGAGGCGAGAGTCGGGAGGCCGTTTGAACGAGCTGTCTCTCTCTCTCTCTCTCTCTCTCTCCCTCTCTGAGATCTCTTGAGCTGAGCTGCTGAGAGAAGGAGGCCCTGGAGCAGAGCTCGATCACCGGCTTCCGGGCCTCCAAGGCGCGCTCCTCTCCCGCCTGCAGAGAAAGACCGGCGGGCGGAGCGCTGCGGGGAGGACGGACGGAGCAGCCGCCTTGGACATCTTGGCATCGAGCTTCTCCCAGAGGAGCAGCTGCTCCGCCTGCACTTTGTCTTGCGCAGCGGATCGCAGCACGGCGCATCCGAGTCCTAGCCCTCTCAGCAGCCTTCCGGTAGAGGAAGGAGAGGTAATCTCGAAGATGATCTGCCTACCGCTGCGACAGACGCGACAGACGCGGTGCTGCGGCGGGGTTCGGGGGGGCGGCCTCAATATCTGCCAGCGCCTTGCGAGTAGAGAGCCTCGCCAGTCAAGACACGCCCGAAGTCCCCCGCCCCCCCCCCCCCCCCAAGTCCCGGAACTGCAAGGCGCCCTCTTGGGCCCTCCTGCCTCTGAATGGAGATCATCCTCGATTCGAAGCGAGCGGCGGCCGCTGAAAATGGGAGGGTAAAGGCATGACCGCAGCCCGGCAGCCTGGAGATGGTCCGCCGCAGGTCCTTGCTCCTCCACTCAAACCACTCTCCAAACCCTCCGAGCCGAGGCAAAAGGGACAATAAAGGAGCACACGAAAGAGTCAGAGTCAGAGAAAGAAGACACTTCGCTCACACTCTCAGCAAATCTTCCGGGCTCTCCTCTGCCCATTTGCCTGCGCATGCATGCACTACTGCGTGCTGCCCAGCAGATGTCAGCACATGTTTCTTTTTTTTTTGCGGGTTTCACTGCCTCTGCAAGGCTCTTCTTCGAGCTCGGCCTCCGGCTTGCGCTGGCGACGCTGCTGCTCTTGCTTGCGTCGCCGCGTTGCCCTCGCCTGCCGCCTGCTCCGCCTGCACCGCCCGTGCCACTCCCTGGCCGCGACCTAAGCCGCAGAAGCACGGAGCAGCTGAACAAAAGTGCTGACTTAAGAGCCGGTCTCTGCAGGGGGCTGCGGCCTGCAGACGCACAGCAAACCAAACACCTCCCTGCAGCTTTGCCCGAGCCTCTGGATCTCCATCGGGAGGAACTCCTCGTCAAATGCGACAGCGCGGAGTCATGTGACTTCTTGTCATTCCAGGCGGTGGTCGACGAGTCGCAGTGCACTCTTTTCGGCGCAACAGTCTGTGAGCCTAATTTTCAACGCCCCCCCCCGCCCCAAATGCTTGCCGACTGTGAACGGACCGGTATTTACGCATGTACGGTCATAGATTTTTTGCAAAACATCAAACATCGGGGGGGCTTTTCGGACCCTGTCCAAGGTGTTGCATGCTGCTCTGGTGTGATACTACTCATCTCTCTCCTTCTTGTGCCATTCGCACACGTATGACGTATTCTGACGTCTGCCTGCGTGTGTTTTTGACCTGACACGACATGAGCTATGCGTCATTGGCCTTGAGAAACGCACGCAAACACGCGCAAACACAAACACACGCAGGCAGCCACACCTACACCCTCACCACGGAGACGGTGGATATCATTTGACGTAAGGCATTTGCCACTGAGCTCCAGTGGTCGTCGATACCGTGGTGTGTTCGGCTGAAACTTGGGCAAGCAACGAGCAGACTGGCCACTGCGAATCATCAGCGGTGTTGAGGATGTATTTGGGCGGCCATGCAACTCGAATCAGGTACACAGAGCTGAGCTGGCCAAGCTCTGTTTTGCGTGGCTTCGTTGAACGTGGTCCCTGATCTCATGCTGGGCCCCCCGTCCCCCCGCACTTCCTTCGAAACAATATTGTTTCCAGAAGCTTTTACCTTGACTTTCCGTCTTGCTGGGTGCGTGTTCACTACGAGCAGCGGACGACAGTTTTTGTGCCTGAAGATAAGAGCAGCTTGGCAACGGTCGCATGACTTTGGTTGTGAGGCCTGAGACTGAAGAAGTGCCCTTGTGGCAGGCTGACGTGTGGCGCAAGCACGGCTCTACTTTGATCAGCTGCCACTTGCTTTGAGAAGGCAGACTTGCAACTTGTTGAGTGTGAGCCAGAAGCTCCAGACTACGTTGCACGACGGTCCGACGCCCGCGAGGACTTAAGCAACCGGGCGAGCCAACTTTGACGGAGCGGCTTGAACACGAGTTGACGCACTGGTGCGAGGTTGGTGTGCGAGCCAAGAGCAAGCAGGCGAAGAGCCGCAGACTTTCCCTGAAGCAGCATGTGCTGCAAATGGACTTTAGCTTTCTTGGCGACAAGCCTGGTGAGGAACAGATCACGGTTTTGAACGTTGTCGATGTTCTTTCGGGCATGGCACTTTCTGTTGTGATCCCCATCAAAGGCACGTGCACCTTACTCGCAAGCGGAGTTGCGTCGCTTTGCGCTTGAAACGGGTGGAACTCCTCGCTATTGCAACTTCTGTGACTGGTGAGGTTGGTGGACTTTCTTTTCGCAAGACGCCCGTTGGCTGGAAACAAGCGCAGGGCAGTGGGTAACATGCAGGCCACTTTGTACGGACAGATCAAGGCTTTGCGCCTTGAGATCCTTGAGCGCTACGACGTTGACCTTTCGGTGCACTCAGCTTTGTTTACTTGGCTGGTTCGTCATGCACAGTGGCTTGTGAACCGTTACCTTTGCAACGCGGAAGGCACCACGGCTTTTGAGCATCGCTGGCATAAGAAGTATGCCGGCTTTATCTGTCGCTTTGGCGAGACAGTGCTTTTCCGCAAGCCACATCCGCAGAAGGGTCGTGCAGCTTTTGTGCCTGGAGTTTGGCTTGGCAAGGACACAGAGTCTGATCAGCACTTTGTTGCTGATGCTATCGGTCCCTTTAAGACCCGAAGTGTCAAGCGCCACCCTCTCTCCCGGCAGGGCCGACCTTGCACTTTTGCAGTCGATCTCTGCGCGTCCTTGGGAGCCCACAGGTTCGAAGGCTGAGACGGACACTTCTGTCTTTCCTCAAGCCAAGCGGTCCGAGGAGGCGACAGCAGTAGACCCTTCGAACTTTGAGCAGCAAGAGTCGACTGAGCCACTTGCACCTGGAGGCTTGCAAGAAGTTGAAGACTTGCTTGGTGACGACTTGAGCGGCTTTGAGCCAGAGGCGATCCCGCCAAGGGAAGACTTGTCGGACTTGGAGAATTTGGCTACTCGACCTGACATTGATGATACCTTTGAGCCGCCGCATGTCACTTTGGACCAACAGACGCAGGGCCAACCGCGGTCCTCAACTGAAGCAGCTTCCTCAATTTGACGAGGCGTCTGCTTCTTCTCCGACCAAGCGTACTTCGGAGACTTTGCCTATTGGTACCAGCACAAGGTGCAGAGAATGGCCAGCGTTACTTTTGCGGAAACCAAGAAGCGTTTTCGCGTGTGTGACTTTCGTGTCTCTGCTGTGACAACCAAAGCAGGACTTGGAGGTGCCTGTGTCAGTGAATCAAGATGAGAAAGAACTTTTGTTGATGAAGACACTTGAGAATCCGAACGTTTGGTACCAAACGGAGTTCACGCGTGAAGAGGAAGCTACAGGCATGACCAAGGAGATGAAATCGATGCGTGACTTTGACGTGTTTGACGAGGTCTCCGTTGAGTCGGTCTCTGAGGAGACTTTGCAGTCTGCAATTTCCACGAAGTGGGTTAAAGTGCGCAAGCCTGACGACTCTGTGCACTGTAGGATTGTGGGTCGAGGGTACACTCAACTTGTAGAAGACAAGGATGAAACTTTCGCCTCAACCCCGTCCCTAACCACGCTTCGGTTGCTTCTGACTTTGGCTGTAGCAAAGGGATGGCAGATATCGATCGGAGACATTTCGAAGGCGTTCCTTCATGCCCTGGTCGATGGTGACTCTTATGTCATTCACCCTCTTGAGTTTTACCCTGAGGGCCGTACTTTGTGGAAGCTTAAGAAAGCAGCCCAAAGCTTTGGCAGCAACACTTTGCATCTGTCATGGAGAAGAATGGCTTTAGACGCATGAAGTCGGACCCGAACCTTTACGTGCATGACAGTAAGCAACTTTACGTCCTGGCTTACGTGGACGACTTGATGTTCTTTGGTTCGCAGGCTGATGTTTTGACTTTGACCCAGGATCTTCAGAAGGACTTGTTGCTCAAGGTTACAGGTACTTTGAATGAAGGTCAAAGTTCGTCGTTTCTAGGCCTTATCTACAAGTGCTACCGGCGCGCTGTGGGCCAACTTTTGTGGCTTTCCAGCGTGAGCCCTGACATCATGTATGCTGCCAAGGAGCTGAGTCGAGGACTCTCCGCCCCTACGACTGAACACGAAGCTAAGGTGAAGCATCTTTTGAAGTACTTGGCAGGAACCAAACACTTTGAGCAGAAACTTCAACCTGCACTCTCACTTTCACCACAGCTGTGCCACAGCACAAAGCAATAGACATCAAGAATCAACATTTACGTTGATAGTGATTGGGCTGGGTGCCACGACAGCCGCCGATCCACTTCAGGAGTCTCTGTCTTTGTGCTCGGTGCGCATTTACTTTCGCACAGCAGGACCCAGGTCACTGTGGCCCTCCCGAGCGGAGAAGCAGAACTTTATGCGATTGGGTCTGGGGCCGCAGACGCACTTTTCGTGAGATCTCTGGTGGAAGAATCCAAGATCTTTCAGAAAGCGAACCTTTGTGCTTTTACCATTAGTAATGTTGGTAAGAGCATTGCTTCACGTTCCGGCGCTAGTCGTGCAACGAAGCATGTTGAGCTTCGCTTTCTTTATGTACAGGAACTTGTTGCTTCAGGCATGGTTCGAATAAAGAAGGTCCTTGGAACTTTGAACCCGGCGGATATACTAACCTTTTTCACTTGGACTTTGGTTGCTCGCTCGCTCGGCATGCCATGGTCTGTCTGTCTTTGCTGTGTTGCGACTGCAACTTCCTGGAATGCTCTGAGAACTTTGTGGATAACAATCAGATCTTGCCGCCTGAGCCGCCACTTTCGGACGCCGAGCTCAGAATCCTGAGACCTTTGGTGCAGCGAGCCTTTCCGGCAAGTTTGGACTTTGGGCTTTCCCAGTCCAGACGGGGTGGCTTTGTCCCTGTGTTGAGGGAGCCACTTTTACAAAGGAGCGACTTTGAGCAAGCCGGCCTCGCTCCACCGGCGGATCAGGACGAAGCAGCAGGAGCCACTTCTGGCTTTTGGTTCGTCGTCACACTTTCGGTGCTTGCGGCTGCCTACAACTTTGCGAGCACCTTCCACGGGGAATTTGCCTACTTTGCTTCCTTTCTGCGTGGACTTTTCCGCAGACTTTTGAGGAGGCTGATCCGATTGATCACTGTTGGCCGTCTCGGGAAGGAACCTCCGCCGTGATGGCGCAAAAGACTTTGCCGCAGGAGGATGCATGGGCAGAGCACATTCGCATTGGCGGAAGAGGGAGCCTGCCTACTTTGGCAGCCTGGCGTCCAGATGCCAACTTTTCGACCTTTGTTACCAACTTTGATCCTGCAACCTTTGTGGGTATGTTGGCGGAAGGTCGACAGACCGAGCAACTTTGGGCGC